AAAACTTCCAGAACATGGCCACACAGCCCGGAAGACCCACACCAGCCATCGTATGCCGGCCGTGAAAGCCTTCAACAATACATTATAAGTAAATGCTTCAAGAGCATCAGAAGAACATGTGTATTATTAAGATGCCCCCTTGCATCTCACATTGTTTGGATGCTTCATACTTTTAGCTTATTTTAGTCCCACTCTGGGCTGCGTTGACCTGTTCTGAGATAATAATGGCATTTTAAAGTGCTCTAAGTTAAGAACAAAACATCTTATATTCTAGAATTGTGTTGGCACTAAATGGGGCAATTTGTTCTGTGTTGCTTCAGATGTTCAGCCTGATGATACTTGAAACAAACCCTTTCTCCCTCAATTTTCATGTTGGGCCACAGAAATATGGGGGATGGTAACCCACAGTATTACCATTAATGTAGGCTACAGAAAAAAAATGGTCAAGGGCTTGATTAAAAAAACCATAGTAGACATGGCTGCAATAGTTAACTGATATAATTATACTTTCTGCAGCTGTTAAGCATATTGTATCATTCTACCTACATAGTCTGAAGTTGGTAAGAGTTCCAATCCAGTGCTTATCCTGCCTGAGTTAAGATAGAATAGTTGATGTTATCTGTAAAGATTAAATGGAGTAGCTTTTTCATCAAGATCTTTAAGCAGTTAAGCAACCATGATGGCCAGGAGTGATGAGAAGTTTCACTGAAAAATAGCATCATTGTGTGAAATAATTTTTTTTAAAGCCCAATAGTACATAAAAGTTTTGGGACTGGTTTGTTTTGTTGTTCAAGAACTTAAATCAAATATTTTAGCATATTAAAATAATTTGAGGGATGGAGAGATAGACACAGTATCAAATCTATGAGAAAAATCTATGTGTTTTACATTAAAGGTTTCCTGATGACGCTTGGGGAGTTTCCCAGCGATCTGGAGGGCGACTCTGTTGAGCGCCTTGTTGACCTCTGGAATACGGTGGCGGCCAGGGCACTCGACAGCATTACCCCTGAGCAGCCTCTTCCCCCCTTCCCTCCCCCCTCCCCCCCCAATCAACCCCTCACAGCTCCTTGATTCACTGAGGAGCTCCAGGAAATGAAGGAGGTGAAGACACGTCTAGAATGATGCTGGTGAAAAACAAGAAGCGAATGTGACCGGACACGAGTAAGAGCCCAGATTCGAGCCTACTCTGTGGCGATAAGGGCAGCGAAGCATAATTACTTTTCCTCCCTTATTGCGTCTGCGGAATGTTGGCCAACTGCACTGTTCAGAGTGTCCTGGACCCCTTGGGAAAGGATGGAAAGGAAGATCCAGTCCGTGTAAGTTGTGATCATCTGGCCAAGCATTTCGTGGATAAAATCTCTCACATTCACTCTGAGTTAGAAGCTGGATGGACAGAATCCACTGAGATGACAGAGGTGACGTCTTGTGCTGTTACCTGGGAGATTTTAGATTTAGATTTTTTTTAGTTTTTTTTTTTTATCCCAATTTTTAGATTATTTTGTACAGCTTCAGCTGGTGTGCCAGTTGCACCCTTACCTGTAACAGGATGCACCAAACACAAAAGTTCATGCCCTTTTCATTCCTATATTAGATTACTGTAATGCTCTCTACATGGGGCTGCCCTTGAAGACCACTTGGAAACTTCAGGTAGTCCCGAACTTAGTGATCAGTGAAGATACTGCCATGTTGCACCTCTGCTGCATGCTTAGTAGTGATTGTATTACCGTGTTACATTTCAGCTGTGGGAGCTGCACTGGTTACTAGTAGGTTTACGAGTGCAATTCAAGCTGCTTGTCACTGCATATAAAGTACCATATGGCTCAGGGCCTGGATATCTTAGACTCTACCTTTCCCCAATAGTTTCTGCACATTCTACCTGCACAGATAAGAAGCATCTGCTAAGGGTTCCTAGCTACTAGGAGGTATGGTGAGGGGGGGCCAAAGCAGGTGTTCTCTGTAACAGCTCCCCTCTAGCTTGTTCCCTGAAGCAAGAATGGCCCCCACCCTCATGGCCTTTCAGAAGTAGATGAAAACCTGGCTCTTCCCAAAGACATTTGAGAATTAATTATAACCATTGGCACCATACCAAACAAATTTTAGCTCATTAATTTTAGTACTAATTTGGGGAAATAGATTTTGGGATTTGCTGTTTTAATTAATTATAATATTGATTAGCCACCTTGAATCTGTTAGGTTTCAGGTGGTAGACAAATCTCATTAACAAATTAATTAACTTGGGATAAAATAGTTCATAGATACTGGTATGCTTTATGCATACTACAAACCACAACCCCCCAAAAATAGTTTTCCTCCCAGTAATAATTGATCAATCATATCTCTACTCAGGGACCATTTCAAGGGAGAAAACTGGAGCAATATGGATCTTTTTCTGTTGATTTGAGTTCTCTGGGCACTAATTAGGCAACCAAACCAAAACTTTGGCTAAACTTTGGTTTAGCTCTGAACTTTATTTTGGCATTTGTTTTAAATAATTTGATTTCAGTGAAACCTACTTGCTACTGCTGGTGGACATAATGGTTAATTTCACTAAGGCTGTAAGCTAAGTATTGTTTAATATTTGAAGATGAAACAGTCATCCCTTCTGTCCTGCAGACTAATGATGCAGATGTAGGTCCAGAAATGATGAGAAGCAGGGCTGCTGCATTGGCTGTACTGAGAAGCAAGCTCCTTTTGGCTACTTTTTCCGGAACTAATCCCCGATTCAACTGCCATTTAAAGGAATGGCTTTGTATGTGAATAAATGGTGCTTGAGCTTGCTTCTATGGTTAAGTACAAGGTCAGGGCTTTCTCAGGATTTTTTTTAAACTGTTCCATAAGTCCATCTGGTAGGATATTTGTTCACCTTACTGTTCAGCCAATTTTTTAAAAAATAAACAAAATATATTTCTTTCTTTTCAACACCCAGGTACTTCATTGTACAGGTCACATTCGTGTTTATGAGAATTGCAACAATCAGACTGTGTGCGGTTATAAAAAGCCTCCCATGACATGTTTGGTATTAATTTGTGAGCCTATACCTCATCCATCAAATATTGAAGTCCCATTGGATAGTAAAACGTTCCTCAGCCGCCATAGCCTTGACATGAAATTTTCCTATTGTGATGAAAGGTAAAGCCAATGCTAATGCGTACCTCGCTCTCCCCCCTTCTCAAATAGGTTCCCTGTGAATTATAATACTTATCTGATTGCTAACTGTATACTCTGCAATTTTACTGTGCCGTATTTATTTGTTAAAATTGGTGAAGAAGATTGATGATGTAAATTTATATGTATCCTTCAGTTTCATAACTTCAGTTTCATAACTTTTGATTCTGAACATTGATGATGCAAAATGCTTTCTAGTTTGCTTTCCATTTTCCAAAATTCTTTTTAAATGATAAAAATAATTTTTTTAAAAATCATTTTTAAACTTTTTCAATTGTACATGTTTGAAAGCAAAATCATGGAAACAATGTATTTAATTAGATAGCATATATAAAAGGTAAAGCAACACTTGCATTAGGATTATTACAGATAGCCCTTGACTTACGACAACAATTGGGACTGGAATTTCCATCGCTAAGCAATCCAGTTGTAAAGGACGACTGCATCATTTAGCAATGTCAATCCCTACAGTCCCAGTTGCCGTCAATAACTGAATCCCAGTCATTAGGCAAGGCAACTTCCTGCCGGCTTTCCACAACCAGAGTCCATGGGGAAGCCAGCAGGAAGTTTCAAGTCCCAGGCCAGCAGGCAGGTAAGTGGCTGCTGCCAGGTGAGGGAGGGAGTGAGGGGGAGTGTGGGGGTGCATGGGAGGGGGTGAGGGGGTGCATGAGATGCACCATGTGGATTGGGGAGGGTGTGTGAGAAATGCCACATGGGTTTGGTGTGGGGGTGTGGTGCGGATTGGGAAAGGCATGTGGGGGTGGGCAAGTGGCTGGTGCAGCATGAGCGCAAAGGGGCTGGGGAGGGTACACAGGTGGGGGAGACTTACCCCAGAGACTTGCAACCTTTCCCCCCCGCGTGGTCCCCCTCTTTTTTTTTTGTGGGGGAGGGGGGGGGGGAGAAAAAAAGTATGTTGAGGTGGGTGTGTGATA